TCTATCCAATCTATCAATGGTCTAAGATAACAGTTCGGTGTGATTTTATCTATCCTCTACAAAGTAATATTATATTTTAAAATAATTACAAGGTTGTTAGGCGAATCTAAAAGCTAGTTTTCTTAATTAAACGGATCTACGATAGAGATCGGGTCATTTTACATAACTATTCAACTTTAAATCTCTCCTCCGTTGAATCACGTGATAGAATTCAATCAACATATGAATAAGCTAATCGTACAAATCCGAATAGTGAACTAACCAGTTCTCGGTCGTAAAGTATCAATGACAGACAGACATGTGCTTGCGTGTGTTATTACTTTCTATTCGGAAGTAATTTGAGATCTATGCTCACAGAGATTTATGACAGCTGATTATATTAGTGATGTCATAGATTAAAACATTTACTTTGACTAGTGGAAGTAGACTTTTTATCATATCGTAAAATCTTGACCTGTTTTCTGTAGTTAATGTTAGCAACGCATAGAGTGTGCTGACGTCGACGAAATGTTTCCCATTTTAGGGAAAATTTTACGATTTGTTGATTTGTTCATAACGGTTATATCAGATGACATTCTATTGATTTGACCTTTAGAATAACACCCTAAAGTAACGTCTTCTTTTGTAAATACAGTACTGGGTAGTGCAATCGTAGCTGAATAATGGTGTAAACATGATAAGGGGTTCCTATGTCAATATGTGTTCCTAATTAGAATGTAATTATAAAGTGCTGTTGATGTGAGGTGGAAACGTTACTTATTTTTTAACAAAGAAAATTATAAAAAGTTCAGAAATGCATATTACAGTTTCTGTAGTAATTTTCGTTTGCAATGAAGTTTTGATGTGTTGCTGGACTTTGGTATGAGAGAGACTAGTTCGATTCCCGCCATAGCCACAAAATCCTAAGGGTTTGGATAGCTTTCTCTTAAATTAGTTTGTGATTTGCACACGAACAAAAAAGCTTGTTGCAATTCCCATATCAATCTGAGCATTGTCTTTTCGAATACTTATGAGAATCTTATTTGATTTTAACATTCTAGTATGTTAATTTTACTAAACCTTTACCTTATACGTTTTATTACTCTGAGCTTATACAGATCTAAACAAAGGGACCGATGGATGTTTACCGCTTGGGAAGAAGATTCGTGACGTTATTTCAACCGACGTCGACGACGGGAAGCGATCACGTTATCGTTGTATCGGAAGCACGTCGATCGTAGTCGGTATTCATGAGCGACGTGCAAACGATCAAATCAAACCATAACCATGAGCATAAAAACCTTTAGCTAGGTTACCCGGTTACTTGGCGTTGGCCGATACCGATGAAGATTACGTACTTTAAAAATAAATTGTACGTTCTATCTTTATAAAACTGAACTTATCACGAGTTATAGGATCGGTTTCATTCCTGAAAATGTTTAGGAATTAGCTTGGTTGCTAAATATAATTGAAATATTTGTCTATAATGACCTCATTGTCGAGCTATTTAGCGAGTACAATACAAACGGAAGTTTCGGATTTTTGCAGAAATCCTTCTTCAGGTGTAGCAAGCATTCTAGTCTCTTACGTTCTAGTTTAAAACCCTACATTGCTTCTTGTCTGAAAAGATCTCCGAACTTGGGACCACTTTGACGGATCTACTTTTTAACTTCTAGACATCTAAACACACTAGAATTGTATTTAGTTATTAAAATATAAATAGAATATTCCATCAATACTGACAACACAAGAACCTTCGTAGGCTCTAGGACAAACGATTCCTAGATAAATATTCCACAAATGGACACACAACTCGTACTTGGACTCTGATATTCGGGCCAATGACGTCCACTTTCTGTAGTCTATGTAACGATGAGGAGCCTAGTTTTCGAATGATTAACGACTTATCTCCCATTCGGTTTTGTCGGTGAAGTATCACTTGATCGCCTTGTACCATATCGATTGTTTTCAGTGATTGTTTTGACCGATTACTCGATTAGGAAACGCCGAGATTGTTCAGTAATTGTTTGATTTGTAATGCCTATCTATTATAGTAGTTGTGATCAGTGATCGTGTTGAAATTTATAATGCTTTGATTCGTAATTTGTCATCAACTTCAACTATGTTGTTGTTGTTGTTAAATTAAATTGAGTTCCTACGGACTGTGTGAGTTTTTTTTACATCACACTATCTGATAATTGTAGGTGATCTAGTAAGGGATGGCAACACTATTCCCAAGAAGTGGCGAAATAACACATTAGTATCATCTACACATTTAAAAAGTGTCAAAAATGTCAGAAAGTATACAAAACAAATCTTTTTATATCTAAATATCTTTTTTATCTAAATATTTCGAAATCATAATAAATCATGTAGAGAAGATTACATTAAAAATTTAATGATAAGGACGGCCATCCCGACAATACTTATCAAATCAGCTCAAGGCAGATGGCATTGAGATGGCATAGGAAACAGGATCCAACAGCTTCATGGTGATATGAGGAGCCGGATGTTGATATGAGATGATGTCATTTCAACTGCTTCCCCTCCTCCCCCCACCTTTTCAAAACACCAACAAGAAAATAACTAAAATGTCTGGGGCCTGGACTACTAAGGAAGTTTTGGAAACAGTTTGTTTTTGTTTACCTTTTACACATCTGTGCATCTGCTGCAGCCATCTAAATCTGTGACTGGAAAGTTTCTGTTTTTCAAATTACTTCACAGATTACTTTATCTGAGGTCCTTTTATTCCAAAACAAAATAATCTAATATTATTGAGTTATGATATGATGTGTTTAGGAGATTTGTGAAATGCTCATTGATCTTTGCACCACAGATTATCAGTTAGTAAATCATATCTTTTCTTCGTGGAATAGGCCTATAATAAGTTATCCTTTTTTTGGAGGCTTCATCCTTGAACCAAGGTGGCAGTAAAATTTTCTATGTCAATTTTTTAAATTAAATAATCACAGGACAACAAGAAAACTTGTTGCTCAAAGTTGGAAGCGAATATTACTGAATACAAAATTCATATTTTAAAGTAAACCTTAAAATGCAAATACAAATTTGCACCCCTAGTGTCTTTGACTTGGTTGAAACTTGGCAAATATTTTTACAACTTTCAATCCTGATAATTTAACAATGCAACATACTCAGTTTTAATTTACAAAAACACGAGAACTTGGAAAGTTAATAAGACAAAAGCCTAAAGAGTAAATTTTGCTCAAACCCAGAAAAAACACATAGAGTTAAAACATGAGAGCATTCATACAAACCGGGCTCCCTGTGTTAAAAAGATCAAAATTTTGTCTAGAAATCAATACATTTTTTTAACAAATACAACTATCCTGAAAAAATACATAAATTATCCTGTTGCATATATTAATTTTAATTAATACTAGCTGTAACCCGCGGGCTTTGCCCCGTTTAAATTCTTAATTTTCAAGATTATCTCGTTCGCATGGCTCAATCACGTCCTGGTTGAAGTTTGTTCGCTACGCTCACTCACCTTTAGGTTGGAGCTCGTTCGCTACGCTCACTCACCTTTAGGTTGGAGCTCGTTCGCTGCGCTCACTTGCCTTCAGGTTAGCTCGTTCGCTACGCTAACTCGCCTCCAGGTTGAAGTTCGTTCGCTACGCTCACTCACCTTTTGGTTGCAAATTAGCTGTTGTCATAAATGTAAAAGAAATAATAGTGCTGCACCCTGTTGGTAATCCTTGTAACTTTAATGCTATTGAACATCATAGAACAGAACCAACTTGTTTAATTGAAACAGCTGTTAAGATTCAATAATTCCATTTCTCATAAGGTTAACATGGGAAACTCCAGAGCCACTGGGGCGGAGCCCGAAAGGATTTTTGAAATAAGAATATGCCTATATGTTAATCGGGAATGTGAGCTATCATCATGCCAAATTTCAGCCCAATCCGACCAGTATTTTTCGAGTTTACTTTTCCCATACACACATACACACATACAGCAACCACCTCTTTTTTATAATAGTACTAGCTGACCCGGCGAACTTCGTATCGCCTAAGTTATAGGTTTCCCCTAAGACAGACCGATGGAAAGAAAGTGAAACAGCTGTTTAAGATTCATTAATTCCATTTCTCATAAGGTTAACATGGGAAACTCCAGAGCCACTGGGGCGGAGCCCTTTTAAGAATTTCGAAACGGGAAATAGTTTACGTCCGATTCGCATACCTACAGAATTTACACACCAAATTTCATAACGATCGGTGAAGTCGTTCCGGAGGAGTTTGCAGACAAACACTGTGACACGAGAATTTTATATATTAGATAGATAGATAGATATACCTCTATAGAAATTGCGAAAGCTATTCCATGTGATCAATTTGCTTCAGAGTGCTTTTGTAGCTCAAATGTTTTAGTTACTTTTTAATAATTAAATTTATATTTGGGCCTACTTTTTTGTCCTAGGACGCTAGGCACGAGCCCGCAATTGTTTTTCACATTACTTCAGGCTAGACCTAGGGGTTACGGCATTATCACTTAGATAAAATCCATTGGTGATTTGGCGGGATTTGAACCCGGGACCCTAGGAACCGGAGTCCTGCGCACTATTAATTAAAACTACAACAAGAAAAATCTGTAATCAGCATATCTACCAGAGTTGTCACTGTTGTTAGAAACAATTAATATGTTGGCACTAACATTTAATATTGTTGTTAAGTCACATAAATGTTAGTAGAAAGATAAACCAAAATTTATAACTGTGTGTCTTGATTCAATAATCTTGACACCTTGTTGTAAACTTTAACAAAATAAAAGATGTTTAAAAATTTTTTTATAAACTCTGTTATCATTGGTTTTTTGACTACAGAACTTATCTCAGTTTGAGTTTTAAGCTCCCAATGGAGGGTTGATAGAGCAACTGCCTCAGACTTCAGTAACCTTTTTTTTCATTGCAGTCATCTTGGTAGTGGTGCTTCATATGTCCAGTCAGGCTAGAGTTGAGTATCATGTATAATTTCTTTTCTAACAGTTATTTCCCTTCCTAGGATGCCCGTGGGCAGTGTCGGACCTTACGCCTCATGTGGAGCGTTGACCTCAGGGGATGCGGACGACGGTCGCCTCAGCAGTGTCTACCCCCGGACTAGACGTCGCCTCTCCTCTATAGGAGGAACAGACTCCAACAGCAGCGGGAGTGTTGACACATCGGACCTTACTGACCATGAGCGGGCTCAGGTCGAAAGCTGCTTTCGGGGTCTCAAAACTCAGGTGAGCAAAACTCATCAGTTTCTTTCCCTGTTTTTCTCCCTTAGTAGCAAAACATATTATTTCTTTCTTACTTATGTCTTTGCTTTGAACTCCCTGATTATTTAGTGTTGTAGTAAATTAATTGACAAACTGCCTTTCATTTAAAAGTATGCTCTGCATATTATTTATTTGATGTTAAAAAAAGCTGATTAGATTTTTAATTTCGCTGATCTTGAGAAAAATCGGGTTTATTCCTGAGAAAAGCCAATAGTTTTTTGATGGTTCAAAACGGGGCCCAGCTCTCCTTGTAATGTAGCTCTCCTCAGAATAAATAATCTTTCCAAAGAATTTGTTGATGTTAGCCAGTAGCTTTGACTATTAATAAATTGTAGACACAATTCATGTATAAAAGTGTACTGTTTGAATAAAGGATTTTTTGATTTTATTTGATTAGACTTTATGTATTTTTTACTGTCCCCAGTTTTAGAATAAAAAGTGAATTGAGTCACTGAGTAAATTACTGATTCCGGATATTCCAACTTCTATAACATTGTCCAGCTGATAGGATGACTTATTGTAAGCTCATCTTTTATGTCACAACTATCTTAATAACACAAACTAAGGGTAAAAATATTATTTTAGACGGGAGCACTTTCTGGGAGTGTATCATTGAACTGTGTGCTTTTTTATTATAAAATGGCTACAGCTGGTCCATATTGATGGCACGTCTACATCAGTATCAAAAAATTAATGCCAGTAGCTACAATATCATCTTACGCCAGCCATTCTTAACTTACCTTGCACTCAAATTCACCGTAAAATATACACATAGTATTCCTGTCTTAATATTAATATTCTAGCCAGGTAATTGGTGTTTTACTGTGCGCAGGAGTTTTGTGGGGGGTATGAATTAAGCGTTTAAGCTTACTGGGCGAGTAACGTACGAAAATTTACATCATAATATACCGAATAATTAGTACATTTTAAACGCATAACACCATTTATTTAGGACGTAATATAAATTATAGTATTTTTGTATTACAGAAAATAAAATTGGCCGTTGCAGTTAGCTGTTTATATCATCAGCTGACTAAGTGCACGGTAAAAGTACATAACCTTACCTACTTTTCCTTGTTTAGGCACGATAAAGAGCAACATTCCAGCCTATAAATACGGATGGAAAAGTACCTGTTTCTGTGTAGGATGGTGTAAAATATTTTACAAATTCTTTTCCAAACTTCCTTTAAAACTAAGTAATCCTAACAACATGTACAGGTATTTGTGTGTGGATCATTGGCTAACCTCTACCTGGGCTCGGCTTCTAATCCCGGACCCTGGGAACTCCACTACACCGGGATCCCAGTTGTGCTCCTGGACTACGGTGAGACCAGGTCAAGGAACAAACGGAGGATCCAGATTCTACTGGCTGAGCGCGGAACTTGCTTTACTTTGTGGAGCGACACCATCGACAACCTCTCTAGTTACAAAGTAAGTCATCTAGCTGATTAGGTTTTCCGATCAAGATGACTGCTCCCATAATGTGAAATGTGTAGTGTTAGTGTTGTAAATAATGGTCTGAGTACGGTAGCCGAGTAGTCATAGTGGTCGCCTTCAAATTTAAAGTCTCTGGCTTGATTCCAAGAGAGATCAATTTTGGATGCAGATGCTATTTGGCAATCCATCAATGATGCTGTATTACAAAGTTTGAGGTTAAATAATGACAAGACCGGGGTTTGAGCTGCTCTTTAAGAAAATAATTTCATTGGCAGAGAAACACAATAATAAATATGTAAATATATCCTCTTACAAATGGCAGTGGTCCATTACTGCTCTGAAGATAGCCATCTTTGAAGACAAGCATCTTGACATTGACAAGCCATCTTATTTTGTTCAAAAGGCTGAAGTATCAGCCCAAGACAGATTTATCCTCAATGTATTATTGAAGACAAACTTGTATTGTATTAAAATTAACCCCTTTAACATGGAAATGCAATATCTATTTCCATCAATTGTCAGAGATAATACTCAAAACCTAAGCATACACAACTTGACCACTTAGATTATTTCCCATAGTACAAAAACCAAAGTTGTTTTTTGCAGGTATCAGGTACAGCGTTCCACACCATGTGCCTCTCATCAGACCACACCAAGTTGGTCGGGCTGAGTTTCGACTGTGTGGAAGCTGCCAAGGAGATGTGGCAGCATATCGAGCGTCTAACTTCCGACCCAGAGAACATCAGTCTCTCTGTACCCAAGAAGGGAAAGAAGATGAAGAAGAAGGTCCCGGTGCAACCACTACCTCAAAAATCTCACATCTCCCAACCTTGTTGTTTTCAACACATCACGAGTGTTGAGCCAGGAGATCGAACCCGTTACTACTCCCTGCAAACCCTCCTTCCCGTCATGCAGGAACTGTCGATATCCTCCAGTCCCGAACATTCAGACGAGTCTTAGACTCAACGTCGTTTCTTGTACAATCTAAGTCACTTAGTGCGTGTAAGTTTGTAAATAGTCGTAAATGTTAAAAATAAACCATGGCAGGATACATTTGGATTTTCGTTTGATAAATCGGAAAGTCCTCTAAAATGTCTAACATTTTGAGTCAAAATAGTAGGCTACTTGAGAGTGGTACCATTAAGTAAAATGAAACTGTGATGCTAAATATGGTTTGCTGTATAGCCCACAACTACAGGGTACTTTATTGTTATATTTTGTACATATTTTATAGTATTTTTCCCCTTATTGTGTTGAAATTAAAATAATGTTTTATGTGTTTTAAATCATTTTGTGTACCATTGTGTTGTTGTATATGCGTTTGTAATTTTATTGTATTAAATTTATTTTTGATATAAAAATACCGTTATAGGATATTAGTTAATAAGACTGATGTATTTTTTAAACTCAATCTAACAACCACAAATAAGTAGATATTTATTATGTTCAGCATTAAATTAAATAGACTGGCAATATCATTTTGAACACAATTTTAAGCCCACCGTTTAACGGACATTATTTTTAATAATTAAATACATTTGTTCCATAATCATCCATTGTATTTATTACATCTTCATTCAATTTAATTCTAACTCAATCATTTGTGCCTATATTATAGTTGATAAGATAAGCCTGATAAAACATACCATGTTGTAAATTTGTTCTCTAGTTATAAACTAGGTATATGTATTGCTATGAATCTAAATGCAATAAAAATGTATTAATTGAACATTTCTTATGGTTTCCTCCCTTTTATTTTATCCTCCAGAGAGTTACAAGTTCTGTGCTTTATGCTTGATTTTGTTGGGAAGGTTCTTTTGTTTTTAAACAGGATAGCGATTTTTCCCCACTGGAAAAAATCCTGTTGGCTTTCCTGAATCCAATTAGTTTTGTAGGTTTTTTTTAAAGAAAATCAAAATGCAAAAATAAAAATTAGTACAATTTTTAATCACATAAAATACCAAGAAAACCTTTGGAAATCTGTGATTGACATTGTGTAATCCTTTAGAGAGAAAGGAGACGAAGAAGCCGTTGCAAAATAGAATATTCCTCTAGTCCTGAAAGAATAAAACCACAATTAAGATTTTACCATAATCGTATTTAATGTAAGTATTGAGGAAGAGGATTTTTGCCTTAATACAATTAATTACTAAGGGTGTTGTTGCATTTATTGCCAAACCTTTATACAGTAGAAACTCGTCAAGTCTCTCTTGGGGATTACCAGTAAATGAAACTTGTTATATAGACTTCTTATTGAGATTTGCATTTGATTAGGAACACAAAATCAAAGGTATTTGAAAATGACGATTCAAAAATGACTTGCTATTGAAGGTTTTATCAAGGTTCCTGTGCCTTTGACCTATGTACTCCAAAGGCCAAATATATCATACCTAATGATTAACATTACCAAACCTTCACTTACAACTTGTTATGAGGACCATAACTCAATAAAAACTGCTTAAAGCTGTAGTTTGTCAGGATCATAGACCATAGCCTTCCAGGAGACAACATGTAATGACTAAAAAATTATTGTTTGTAAAAATACCCACTACAGCAAACCTGCAGACTTAAGCAAATTTCCATTAGCCTGATTGGATTCACACTAAAATGTCTCCTTAAAAATATCACATTTATTAATTAAGGGTAAAAAGTGTTTTTTTATGATACTGTAATAGATTAGTAAGAAATTAATGTATTTTCCAGATTCGATCAAAATATGTTCATAAACAAGCACACTACAAAAGTTAACTTGTTTTCCATAAGAATAACATGAGAAATTAAAATTAAAATTTTTTTTTAATTTTCTCCGTTACCAATAACCGTACAAAAACACTTTGATATACTAAATTATTTGTTTTTTTAAGCTCTTTAAAAAGGTCCAGAGAGAAATTGGGAAATTTTAGATAAAAAGATTCATACGATGCAAACACACCAGCATGTGTATTTTGAGGGAATACAAGTGAAGGATGAGTAATGAATGATAATATGATACAGAAATACTCACCCTAAATCTAGATTCTCTCCCATGAATGTTTCTGACTTAGCAGTGCAGTCAGTCGGGCTGTAGTTCTCTACTGCTGAGCATCCAATGGCCTTGAAGGCACGAGGGTGAGATATAGTTTCAATATAATACTTGTAGGCTCTCTGGTGGCTACAGATACCTGACACACATACAAATAATGCAAAGTTTAGGCTAAATCCAATAAAAGAACAACATTTTGAGAATTGAAACCTTATGGCAAATTCTATTCGAGGAGGCTTGTTAGAAAAAGATACGATGATGGAGTTGGTTCGAATGGAAGGAATGTATAATTTCCAAACTCTTGTAACTTTTTTCCTAGCCATTTAAACAAGACACAAGCTCTTCTTCATATATTTTTTTTTACCAAAATAAAACTCTTTATTAATTACTGTTTGGTACGTTCAAGTGCAAAGTTACTCTACCCTTCTGCAGTCTGCAAGCCTATCTCATCTCAAGTTGAGGCAGGCTACCTGACCAGAGGGTAAAGCAGGACAATAGATTTAAGTATATTGTATAATAGTTAACCAATTGAACACACATAAAGAGATGATTCAAAATTCAACTCTAATTTAAAGAGAGGATTTTTCAGTTTAAAATAGAATAATTTTAATACCTATCTAAAAATCTAAATCTTAAGCTTATAATAATAATAAATCTATCTAAGGCTTACCGAAAAAGTCAAACTGACATCCCGGCTGTGGACTGGTTCCACCGTTGGGGTAGAAGTCGACATGGCAGACAGCATCTGAAAGACCAAGGAATCCACCGCAGGTGTGGATACAGTCTACAAACTGTGCATCGTACAGACTGAGGCGAACACTAGCAGCCTCCACCTCAAACATCGGCTTGGCCAGATCCAGGCCTGGAAACAACAGTTACAGCCATAAAAGCAGTTATTATATTACCCAGCAAACCAAACATAAAGACCGCATTGCACAACACAAGCGATGCTACAAACTTTGTGCTTCTACCACGTCATCTCAACCAGTGTGGTAAAAAGGAGCAGTGTCGGCAATTAACTATAGAGCCATAAATAAATAAAAATGCCTTTTACTAACAAGCGCTCCTCAGTACAAACTGTTTTACAGGATGACTCTTGTCAATTAACTAATGCTAACCTAAAACTAATAGCGACAGGTCTCATTACCTATAACTTCAAGGTTTATACTATAGTGATTCTAGGGACGTCAAGCTTTTCAGAGCAGTTGGAACAGTGGCGGATCTAGAGCAGTCACAAGGGGGGGGGCGAACCAGGGAGTCAGGGGCGGTTCGGGGGTACCCCTCCGAAAAATGTGTGTAAACTAAGTCTCCTAAATCACAGTTTTTTACCATTTCTTTGTCCAAAGTTAGTGTGACAAATTATTTTACGCAATTTGTATGCACTACTGTATTACATGCAGTAAAAAATATATGTATATTTATGCCCGAGGGGGGGGCGGTCGCCCCCCTCGCCTCCCCTCTGGATCGGCCACTGAGTTGGAATATGGACTACATGAGAGCTTGCTAATTTTCTTCTTTTTCCAAGCAAAACCTATTAGTCAGTCGTTAGTTTTTCCACGGACCTTAACCTCCAAAACCGTTTATTACCAGTGATTCTCCTCACTTGTCCCAAGCCCCGGTAAGAGATGATTCTCCCCACCACCCCAGCAATGTGAGCGCCAACACTGTGCCCAAGGATGTGAACTCGAGACAGCGAAACTCCTCTGGACATCAACCAGGTGATCAGGTCTGCTGTCGCTGCACCAACCTGCGGTGAAAAAATTGGATATAAGTACGGTAAGGTAATGTATGGATAAGTATTACCTTGCTATGAAACATACATGAAATGATAAAGAATAATATATTTGATGTAGTACAGTATAAAACCCAAAATACAAAGAAATTCCTGAGATAAAGATAACTCTTGACTACAAGTTATTACATTGGGATGAAACAATTGACATTTTTAGATGACAGACAAATTATTTGTTAAAATATTCCTAGAGGCGCAAGAGGTTTTAGGTATGTTGGGGGTGAGGGGGGGTGCCAAGAAGAGACAAATTCCCCCACAAGGAAGGACCACCTTCCACAACGTGTATCGGGCAGTTATCTCTTGGGCTCATAGCTCATCTAATCATATAAAACATATAAAGCTCATCTTTATATGTTACATGTAAACTGCAGGCTTGATCAAATCTGCGATAGCAGCACTAGCCGGTTCCACGCCTCTTGACTGAACAAGATTTATGTACTTGGTGAGAGCTTAAATTTTTCTTCACATAGTTTTCAGCTACGACAAGAATAGTCGCCACAGATGGGTTTGAAACCGCTAGAATATTAAGATGATGAAAGTATCCCAGTGTTGGAGGCAGATTTTAACTAACTCGCTCGGCTAGAAGCTAAAAAGCTTTGCTACTGACTAAAACCACATGATTGATTTGCCAGTATTCATTAAGAGCCCCAATGTATCAGTTCCCAACTGAGCTCGATTATGGAATGCCAAAATGTTCACCGAAGTTTTGTTTTGTATTGAACTGTCGATCTGTGATTTAATATGCAAGCACTCTAAACTATTAAGCAAACCAACTACAGCAAACATACATTTTCTTTCCTTAGTTATTTACAGTTTCTGCCAAGTTTAAAACAAACTGTGCTGAAATAAATGTGAAGATTTACAAAATCAACAATGTACTACCTGTTTAGCACTATCCACAGCAGAAGAGTAGAACGGAGGCTTGCAGTATTCACTCCAGTCGACCACGATTACATTCATGACCTTCTTGTACTTCAAATATGCTGTGGATGATCACAAACTCAATTAGCTACGCAAAACATCAAAGTACTACAGTACAAATCTCAGGAACACTACATAATATAATGGGTAAAAAGGTGAATTTAACTAGTAGTCTTTTGTGTTGTTAAGAATATTATTGTAATCTTTTTTTAGTTGTTATACTAGTTTTGAATGTTTGCTTTTTACTTTCTCCCCCTATACCATAGTATATGGAGAAAGTATTGTTTTCGTCGAAATTTTCGAGTTTGAGTTTTGAGTGGATATATTCGTTTTGGGCCCCCCTGGACCCAAAACAGTGGTTTTCGAAGTGATGTCTGTGTGTGATTTCAATGAAATTTGGTATGTAGGTTCTAATCCATATGGTATCTTCAGGTGTTTTTTTCATTATTTGAAATTTTGATTTTTAATGGGGATTTTCCCATAAAAAAAAACTGAAAAAATTGGATTTTTTCAAGAATGACCCGAATGATTTTGATAAAAATTCAGTATGTTGTAGCCCTTTATATTCTGAACAAAATGGTACAAATCCCGTTTCTGTAAAAATTAGGGTTCAAAAGTTATTGTAAATAATGTTATTTTCCCATAAAATAACGGAAAAATAATATTTTCCCAAAAGTGGCCCGAACGATTTTGATAAAAATTTTGTATGTTATAGTCCTTTCTGAACAAAATAGTATATTCTGAACAAAATGGTACACATTCCATTTCTGTAAAAAATTACGGTTCAAAAGTTATTGTAAATTATGTTATTTTCACATAAAAACCCCATAAAATAACAGAAAAATTGGATTTTCCCAAAAATGGCCCGAACAATTTTGAGAAAAATTTAGTATTTTATAGTCCTTTTAAATTCTGAACAAAATTGTACAAATCCCATTTCCGTATATTTACTCTCACCGCTTACCCATGATAAAGGTTGTTGACAAACTTATGGGAGAAAGTATCTGTCAGAATGCTGATACCGTTCATTTATTCTTTGACGATATCATACATTCTCTGTCACAAAAACTAACTTTAAATCTATAGAGCTTTACCATTGTCATAGGCCTATTTACCAGGTCATAAGCATTACTCATGTTAGCTTGATTTTGTGCTTATAGAACCTAGAGTATTCAGTTGCAACACACAACTAGATGTAATTAAACTTAATGGTTTATTTGTAAAAGAAATAAATATTTGAATAGGTTCTTTATCAGTTTCTGTTAATAGATATTTCTCACCATTTTTCAAGAGTGTGCTGAACTTTGAAGAGGCAGAATTAGCAAATCCATGTATTATAATTTTCACTTCCATTTCAGGATTGAACCCTGATTCCTTCAAGGTTGAATTATCATTGTCATGCAGTTCAACACCATTATGAAATTTCCTACAAAAAGGGGAATTTTTAAAATCCCCAAAAAAATTACAGCTAAAGAAAAGTAAAATTTTGTTACCACTAGGCTGCTTTGTCAAGAGTAAGTCCAGAGCTGTAAGTGACTAACAATGAAGTGAAAAAGCTCCACTTTCTTCCCACCTAGCCTGCATGAATGGAAATATTTTGTTGTTATGACCATTGGAATCAACCTTGATGCAATTCTTGATATTGTTTGAAAACTGAAAACTCATTTTTCACAACACTACTATGAGTTGAGCTTCTTTCGTTATGTTTTTACAACCTGTGAAACATCATATTTTTAACAGCTGTCTATTGTTTACTACCGAAAGTAACATTGTTTACAACCGAAAATTTTTCACTGTCAACAACTTCAAATATTTGTTATTGTTTTATCAACTGTTTCTAAAGTAAATATTAACTTAAAATTGAAGGCATGACAAAAAAATTCTATGAGTTTTTAATGAAGAAAATAATTATTCTTTGTAGTGTAGCGAAAAGTAACGTTCAAAACACTAGTGAAAATGAATATATAGATATTCTTGACCATTTAAAGAGCTTGATAAATCTCGCACTTCAAACATAGTCTCAAATATGTAATGGCTCACTTTCTACTCTTGTTATTAAATATACTATTTCCTACCTCCTCACTGCATGGAAATTATCACATAGCCACACCTGTAAACACGATTCGAAATTGCTCATTTACGCTTCATTTATTCTCATTTGCGTTTGTGTCTAGCTCGCTTAATCAGCTGATTTCACTGTTGGTATTTCTATAAAACACTAAAATCCGTTAATCTAATAATATTACCTAAATTAAATTTTATTTCAAACTAAAAATAATAATCCGTGTGTGTTGATGATAAGTAAATTATGGTGGTAGGTAAAATCTTGGGTCTATTACAAGCACAAACACTCAATGCCGCTCCAAAATGTATGGCAGCCATCTACAGTCTACAGTTCTTGAGCGGCAATTATGTACTTTGCACTCTTAATACACAAACAGCTATTGTGATGTTTTTTGGGCTTAATTTACAGTGGGCTTGCACTCATTCAGATCTGTTTGGTTCAGACTTTGTAGCACGGACGGTCACCTGCGCATGACTCACTCATACTGGTCCAGCGTTAGCAAACAGTTTCACAGCTAGAATAAACCAATCAACATCACAAAACTGATTCTTCTAGCTAATAAACCACTTTTATCACTTTCGGGACTAGTAGTGAAATATACTATTAGTGTAAAAGTGTAATTAAAATAAACAGAATCATTCAGGTTTTTGTCAGTATAATTTTTTATAGTTTTCTAATTAATAAGTAAACTATAGATTCTCGAAATATTCAACAAAAACATGTTGGTATGATTCGAATCGACTTGATTTGCAATATCGGTTACATTTAAAAGGCTCATTTAAATCGTGCAACTCATCATAATAGTTGATAAAGGAGATTGAGTTTTCTATGGTAAAAAAGATTCTGGTGCCTCTTACCCGGTGAAGAGTAAAAATTTGATTGTTTTGACAGGTGAAACATCCTGCACATAGGCTTCTACTCGAACACTGTCATTAGAATCACGCTTCTCAAGAAAATGTAGCCCTTTGTCAGACAATTGTGAAAGAGACCAAAGTGATGAACCTGAAAACACAAAACTTTTCAGGGTTTTATTAAATAAAAAAGGCATAACAAAATTTAAAATGCTGCATTGCTACATTCTGCTGAAGTGTTGGTTCGTTTGTAGATTGATTGTAATTGTTTCTTGATATTGTATGGTATGGAAAAAACCATAGACAAAAGAATTAAATATAGACTGACAAAGGAAGATTTTGTGATGTGCCTTTAGAGCGTGCTCAGTGTTCGTTGATTTACTCAATCTGCCATATGCTACCAGCACTACCACCCTTGCAAACGAAAAGCTACCAATTTATCAGACCCACTTTTTTAATAAGGGCAAGAACAAAACTCTGAAATCCCGTACCGTAATTTTAACAAAAAGTGCCATTTTTTAAATCCTCAGAAATTTTTAAAACACGGAACTAACTCCTACTCCCTGGATTCCGGAGAATTCTCCAGAAGTTGGAAACCCTAGCTCCAACTTTTCATAGCATCGTTCGCTAGCACTTGACGCTGCAGAGGTGTGCGCCGAAACTACACGGCACTCCTAGCGGTGGACGCCAGAATATATGCTAACTGCAGCACTGCTGCCAGTCTATATTTAATTATTTTGCCTATGCCTAAGGTTACAAATTATACATGTTCGCAATGGTTTGTAAAATAAATTATTTTTTTATTTTTACAAGTAATTGCAAACATATTCTTTATTTAAATTTAGTAATATACTTTTTTACGCTTGCAAGTGTTGAAAGTTAAGAATTGTTTACCTATATAACTTTTGATGGCCGATAAATTGCCCTTTAACACTGAAATAGTTAGGTAGTCCTGTGCATATTGCAAAGCTTTCTAACCCCTTTTAGATGGTATCAATTAGGATGGCGTTAAATTCCAAGAAAAGGCTCTGATAATCTTGTTGAGAGTGACACTATTGATGCTTGTGGTATTATTTTAATCCAGTAGCAATTGTTGAAATGATTGTACAAATCAAAAACGATGTTGGTGGGGGAAGAGTTCTTTTGCACACTCCATACTCTGAGCTGAGATTCATACGATCTATATTGCAAACATGTTATATTGTAGGTTTTATTGCAACATACGAAGCAAAAAATAATAATGCTTTGAATAAGAATCCAAATTTAAGTGTGAAATGAGTGTCTTACCTTCGACTGAAGCAAAAGCACATATCAAGTACACAGTCAGCATCCTCATTGGCCTCCTTCGACAAATCACAATTTAAACCATTCACCACTGCAAAGAGTCGCTGGCAGTGACTCAAACTCTACTGCACCTTGCCCCAGACTGATGGTACATTTCACAAATGAATCCGTGCTAATCTTAATTCTAGATAATTGTCACCCGTTTCAATACCAACCAAAGTGGAGTGCCGATAAGAGATAACCAATTCTTAAAGAAAACTATCTGAAGTTAAACAAAATACTTTTATCACATTGCTATGGTACTCAAACCGGTAGTGAGATAAAGAAATCGTTTGGATTCCCACACAGACTGAGTTTGATCGAAACGTCACTGAGTAAAACAAATCTGTTTGAGAAATAAGTATTGTTTTTGAGACTTAGCTTTATTATCAGTCCAGGAATCCTCAAACATTAAATTGGAGGAGGTAATCTTTAAACTTATCTGTCAAAGTAAACATTCAAGTTGCCCACTCAAAACCATGAAGTTAACAATCATTCTTGACTCATTTGTGACTGATAAGTTGAGTAGGATGTCCTATCACTTGTCTAAAAATATTGTTGAGTCATTTGTGCAAGATGTTTAACTTTATTTATGCCAATTACTATCACATTTTAAGATTGAGGCAACTTGTCTATTTAACCCAATAAGAATTGACTATGAGTATTGGTAAGTGTACATTCTGAATAACCCCTTAATAAATGTGACTTCAGAGGCAACTGGAAGCACAAAGCCTAAATAATTTGGATTTTAGCGAATTTCCCTATAGGGAAGTAGCTATTACCGTAGGTCTCATGGTAAGACCTGGGGGCGGGACCGATTTACTTTTTCATTTTGATGTCCCCAGAGGCCAAAAACACTAATCGTTCAAATTCATATATATATATATATTTATATATATATATATTTATATATATATTTATATATGTGTCCGTTAGCGCGATAACTCGAGCAAAAATGATCCGATTTTGATGTAATTTGGTACAAACGTGTAAACCTACGTTTATTTGAACGAGTTCGCGAACCAGCATGATCGGACTATGGGAAAGGGGGTTTATGGGGGGTTTTATGGGTTAAAAATAGGTTTTTCTCATTTTTAACCCTCAAAATATAAAATTTATCAACTTTTCTCCAAACCAATTTGAAGAGCATAAAAAAACAGATAATTTAGTATATAGAAGTATTTTTTTGCGGTTTTCAATTATGGAGATATATCAAAAACATTTAATTTTTAAATTCCCATGTTATTCTTATGGAGAATAATTAAACTGTTTTAGTTTGCTTGTTTATGGTTAAATTTTGATCAAACTTGGCAAATTTATTAATTTCATACTAAGCTATTATAATTTGACCAAAAATCACACTTCAATACCTTTCCTGTAGCAGCAAACCTAAGTAGGCCTACTCGTTAAACTTAATGTGTTATTTAAATGCAGAATAAAAAATGATTCCGTAGGTAGTGAAAATGATCTGACTTTGATGAAATTTGGTTCAAGCATTCATTTGAACAAGTTCACAAACCAATCATGATCGGCCAATGGGATCGAGTTTATATGGGATTTCTTTTTTGCTAAAAATGGGTTTTTATGTTTTTAACCATCTAAACATAGTTTTGTAATAATTTCTGTGCCATTTTTTAAAACTTTAAAAAACTTATTTTGAAGCATGTTCTGTAATTAACGGTTTGAGCAAAAGAAAAAAAAATTTAAATTCCTATATGGTATGTTATTTTTATACAACTGTACAGAATAAGTTAAGTAAAATCACCCAGTTTAAGGGTACTTACTTTTTTCTACAAATATGGAGAACGTTGTTTTAATGGATGTAAAAGAAATAATTTGAAACATGCTTCATATTCCCCTGTACCAGCAACTTCAACATTAAAGAAAATATCAAGTTGCAGAATGAATTTCTTAATTTTTCAATTTTCTTCTTTTTCAAAGCTAAATAAATACAGCCTGAAGTCAATAACATTTGTAATGGTGAACACATGTTTGAATAATCAGCTGATTCACTACAAAAAGTATGTAAAATCATAGACAAAAATAATTAAATATAGACCGTCAGCCATTCGGCGAATAGCATAGGTTCTGGCATCCATCACTGGTAGCTTTGTATAGGTAAATTTCTGAATTGTTAGTTACGGAGTATGCGCTACTTAACTACACAGCGCTCCCAGCGGTGGACGCCAGAACCTATGCTGATTGCAGCACGGCTGACAGTATATATTTCATTCTTTTTGTTAATACATATTAAAAAATTCCACATGATTCATAGAGCAATAACATCTAAAAAAAATAAAAATAAAATGACATATCAGCATAACAAGAGATACTCACACAATGGCGGAATATCTGTCTCTCAGCTACATAGACGAGTTCTGGCCTCAAACTGTTTTTATGTTGTTTAAATTCTCTATAGAAATTTAATTTGAAAATATAATATTCAACAGGTTTTGAGTTTACCCTCATATTAAGAAGTCCAAAATTCAGATGCCTGACTTACTGCGCTCATTTACCAAAGAGGACGCCGATACTTTGATCAGTCTTGACTACATTTAACGCAAACCTTGACTCTTTGACCACCTCGAACCATCTTCTGTCTATGATTGCATTGATTATGGCTTTCCTCACCGACGTACTCTCAACCGTGGAGTGAAAAATTTGGTTTCTAGAATAATAAAGAGGTTCAAACAATCATCATGTCGTTCAGGTTGTGTTGTTTAAATTAAAACTGATAAAAGCTAGTACCTAGGCCTAGCACAGGCACCTTTGCATATAGGTCCACCCTAAAGCATAGCAGCTTTTTATTTTAACCTATAACATTGTGTAATAATTAATATCATTTTCTTTGTTTTTTTCATTAATTGAATAGTCTGACATTGTTTAAAGAGCATGAAAAAATGTATTTAATTTCATTTTTAGGCCTACTGTGCTTAAGGAATGTTATTAAGCTTTGCTAAGTTATTACAGTGTTATTTGTATAGAAAACACCATACTTGAGGTACGGGTAGCCTACAGTAACATAGGCTTTTGACACATGAACACATAACTCTTAGATCATACTAGATTCCAATATAAACTGTAAGTCTCTTAGTTGCCATTAGCTGTATGGGCTATTAATTAACAGCAGCTGTGTCTAAGGAACATGTTGGCCTTAGTCACTAACTAAGTTTAGACTACAAGATCATGCCACTCATCCCACACTCATCCTTCACTCATATCTGGTTTAAAATACGCACATAGTGGCATTCCCATCTTATGATAATTGATTTATTGATAATATATAGAATGTACCTTAAGATAAGCTAAATACATCTATATATATTATCAAATTTTTTATTTTAATATATAACAAGATGCATCCCGAATTAGTGTAGAAACATAAAGACAGCGTAGTGTAGCGCAACGTAGCGCAGCGCAGCGTAGCGTATAGGAGCGCAGCGTAGTCCAATACACACAGAGAGCGCAGCGTAGCGTAGCGCAACATAGGTTGTAGACGGTCTTAATAGTGTACCCGGTACATCAGTATAGAAGATGGCTCTGTCGAAGACGGCTCGTATCATAGTTTTGTCGAAAATACCTCAAGGTGGCAGTTTTTGATCAGTAGGAGAAGTGTCGGGGTGCATGAAGTGGGGTAGCGGATTTTTATCCCCCTGGAATTTTAGCCCCTGGGCAAACGTGACGTCACAAACCAGGGGGTAAAATTCCGGCCGCGAACTTTTGAGTTTCGCGACATCAGCTCCATGGATTAAACGCGGAATTAAACATATATTTTCACGGTTGTGAATTTAATCAGAACACATCAAATTATAAAAACCTAGAGTGTACGGCCCGACTTTTTACCCCCCGGAATTTTACCCCCCGGAATTTTATCCCCGGAATTTTACCCCCTGGCTAGATATAAAAATTAGTGAGAATGATTAATTATCTTCATTCTGTTTTAATTTAATAGTAAACATTTTATTATTAAGTAGGCCTAGCCTATCTTAATTTATTTGTGACATTAACTAATCGAACATGTTTTTAATTTTAATTTTGAGATTCAAGTATTAGGATTCGATCTTTGAAGCCAAATTTTGGTTAATATGACGTATATACAATCAACTGAATGAGATTACAAAATAAATAAATAAAGACAGGCCACTAAATAATGAAATGTTTACAATTAATTAAAAACAGAAATAAGAAAACCAATCATTCAATTTATAAAATCGGCCAGGGGGTAAAATTCCGGGGGGTAAAAATCCGGGGGTAAAATTCCGGGGGGTAAAATTCCGGAGGGTAAAAATCCGGCCCGTACATTTCAGTTGTCTAAACACTAGTTATATGGACAGGGGGTAAAATTCCGGTTTTTATCGCTGATTGAATTAATCACGCTCTGACTATTTTCATTAGACTTCGAAATCCGCGGGGGTGAAATTCCGGCCGCGAACAACCTTTTGGCCCCTCAGGTTACTACGTCATAGTGACGTCAGCTTTGCCCAGGGGGTAAAATTCCAGGGGGATAAAATTCCAGCGACCCCATGAAGTGTGTAAAGGCAGGAACTGGCATGGTGAATACATCTTATTTCCAATCCTTAAAAAACACGAGTCTCGGTTTAAGAATTATGCAAGAATGTCGACTACAACGTTCGATCACATATTTAGTTTGGTGAAGGATGATTGAGAGACGCTTACAACTAATTGAAGGGGACCAATTGGTGCAGAAAAGAGACTAGAATTGACTCTTAAGCGTGTCTGCAGTCGAATGCGCTCCAATACGCTCTGAGAAAAACAAAATAGTTTGTTCCTCGGTCGTACGCTGCGCTGCGCTGCGCTACGCTACGCCGAAATACGCTACTAGTATGTCATACCTCATTTCAATGCACGGTTTTGATTTAAAACATGCGCTGCGCTGCGCTGCGCTGCGCTACGCTGCGCTACGCTACGCTGTCTGTATGTTTTTACACTTATAGTTTTGTACACTTTAATAAGTTAGGTAGGCCTACTTTTCCATTGAAAAATATGTTGCACAGTCATGGTGTAAGTTATTTGTACGGTACGAACAAAAATAGAAGAAACTAACTTATAGCCTACATGCTCGAACCACAATGTATGCGTTAATTTTAAAGGCTTTTAATATTTTTTTAGTTAGTTATTGTTTGTTTTGTTAACTTTGGCTGCACTTCATTTTACGTCCTAAACCCAATTATTAGGCCTATGCCAGGCTATCAAAAGCTGCAGTGGGTAATGTTGGTTTGCCATAATTTTCATTAACAGCTCCAAAAGCTGTGTTTTTTGATAGAGGCGTCATATAGACAATTAA